ACAGCGCTGGACAAGACACAAGCTGAAAGAGAGGGCATGGGGAAGAGATGTGCAGAGGACTCAGTGTTCAGGGTGAATGTTTAGGGAGACACCTTTTCTTAAAAGAATTTGTAACTATTTAATTCAGGAACAGAGAGAGACATCTCCGTGACAAGATAATTATTCAGAACCAGAATTTGTCCTCATTTATTTTTCACTCTGTGAAATTCATAGAGCTGTTTGCAAGGTGCACCATTACACAACACAGCAAGAATCCAAGCAGAAGCTTGTCTTAACTGAGAGACCAGCATAAGAAGCTTGGCAGGTTATTCTTGTCTGTCCTTGCTACTTTCATAAACACATGGTGTGTTTACTGCACAGCCATCAGATGCTGATTTTTCTTTCAAGTATACATGATGGCTAACAAGAGGTAAGAAGTTATTTCTGGGGGCACATGCAAAAGATTTGACTCTTGGCCCTTCAAAGCTTGATCCCTGCCTTTGAGGAGCTGTAACAGGATGCTTTTCCAACTGTTGCACATCCTGGATTCATGCTGGAACTGTAGAACTCTAACCCTAACAATAACAACTCAAGAGTTCATGGGCTGGATGATGCAGTTACAACAAAGAGAGCATTCTTTTTCCTCAGGCTTCTTTAAGGTATTTTGAGTGAAAGTCCAAAACAAACATGAAGCATCCAAAATCATTGTTCTCTTTTGGAGACCCTGACTTCTGAGCTTTGCTTCCTGACAACCTGAGCAGGAAAGCTGCCAGGAAGGACTGCACAAGTGAAAAATGGCAAAAATCAGCTAACTAACTTAAGAAAAGAGACTACCCAGAGGGAAAGGAAAGCCATAACGAGCAGCCATTAAAGGGCTCCTGCTGGCATTGTATGAAATCAGATATGAATTCAGTCATTTGCAGGGAAGTTTTCCCATTTATAACAACATTTTATAATTTGGTAGCAATAAAAGGCAGGTTTGAACATGATGTATACAAACTGACTGCATGTCCTCCGTGCAGTCACAACAAAGCTTGTTGAGGTGAACAGGAATATCAGCACAGCAAAGAACAGAACCAAACTCTTCAGCAGAAAGGACCATATACTTCTCTGCTTACAAATCATCTCTCAAGTCAAAACAGGAAAGTTGTCTCAGGCCCTTAGGTCTTTCAAAGACCTAGTCTGCAGAACAGAAAGTCCTCAGGTGCATAACCATAGAGTCCATGTGTCTCATTCGTACTATTTCTGTTTTTTCACTGAGAACATCCCAAACCCACCAGAGCCTACTGCTGGATTAAGGCATCATTATTCTTCCTTCCCAGCTGTTGGTACCAGGCTGTAACATCCACGTAGGTACCAAAAGCTTTCTCCTAAACACACTGAACAAAAAAGCAGCCTTTCTTTATGCTTAGTGGGCTTTGAATTCAGACCCAATAGAGTTGTATCTTCTGAATATAGGGCTTTTATTTTCCAAAGCTCACATTTAATGCTCATTGCTGTGGAAGTCACATTCAGTTCCTTGTTCTCTGCCGCTTCCATCAAGTCATGACACTCAGCAAGGATAAGTGAACGAAAAAGAGACCCTTCAGCTCTCTTCCAAAGTGTTCAGGATTTCTGTGGATTAAAAAAGCAAGAGACTCCTGTTTTACAGTTTCATCTCCAAAGACCCCATCTGACAATACCACGGGGCAAAGGCTTGAAAACCAAAAGCACGTGTCTGTAAGCAGTCTCTTCGGGATGTGCATCATCTGCTTGCTTACAAAGTGGCCACGTGCTTGCTGGTGTGCGATACAGGGCCCGCAGACCAACGGCTGTACAGCTCCAAAACCAACCTATTCCCCATCCAGCAGGGACAGACTGCCGTTGGGGCTCTGGCATTGGGATTCACCAAAATCTGAAGTGAACTGGGGTACTCCTTTCAGAGTGACCACGGCTTTTATTCCATGGGGGAGTGAGTGAGGGCTTTGTGGCTAAGATATGGGCCAAAGCCACAGGAATCAGCACAAAACTTGTGGGCAGCAAGCCCTGGTCTCTGCTCTCCAGTCATCTGCCAATCAGTTTAAGTGGATCAATTTTTTTATTTAACTCTTTTTCTGCAATTTTTTAAGAGAGTTTTATGTATGTTTTATGTTGAAAATTTATTATTTCTTAAGGAACAAATTTCCCCCCACACCATTTCATTTCTCTCCCTCCTCCTCTTCCAGTGATAGATTAAACATGCCAATGGGAAGCTTGCACAGCTCCAGCATTAGGTGGTGGTTTGTTGGGTTTTTTTTTAAATCAAAAGGTACAAGTTCAGTTGTTCTTTTCTTCTCAGTTTCGGGGACAGAGATTTTGTCCTTCAGGCAAGCTAAATGAACAGAAAAGACATGAACTTTAGTACGTTGTTTGTCTCATGATTCACTATAACATCTCCCTAGTACCAGGCATGGCTGCCTCCCGAATAAGCAGAGTTAAAACTTTCCGGTAGATGTCCAAGACCTCTTGGGCAGAAGGCCTCTCAGCTGGGTCCTTCATCTTACACGCTGCATGGATGTCAAACAAATGCAGTCGCACAATATCACTTCCTTCAACGTGGCCTAAGAAAAAATTTGAGACATCTGGGATTTTCCAGATATCTGTTTTCTCATCATAGGGAGGCATGAGGTCATCCTCGAACGGCTCCTCTTCTCCGTAAGGCCAACGCTGCTCAGGAGCTACAAACTCTCCGCGGAGCTCCCGATGACCACACTTCACCAGCCTGCCAGCGCTCCTGTTCACAAGAGGCAAAGCATCCAAATCGTTCACCAGGATGTGAAAGTCACTTGTTAGGAGATACTGAGAGAGGACCTTGTCCAGGTCGTTTGAGTCGCACATCACTAAGGTGCCCAGAGGGCTGCTGTGCAGGTACCGAATGATGCTCACATAGTCTATAGCAAGCATCAACCTGCGATGCCAGGTGTTCATGCCCTTGTACTTGGGGATGTGAAGAGTTTCGTTCAGGCCCCTCAGGGAGCCTAGAGGATGGTACTCGGTGAGGATTGTGAACTGCTGCTCACAGTAGCCAAGCAGCCGGACAACGTGCTTGCTTTGAAGAGCCTTCAGCATCTTCAGTCCATGGAGAAAGTCCTCCTTCAGCTCTGAGTTGGTGAGCTGTGAAAGGACCACTTTGTTTTCCTTCCACTCAGAAAGGAAGACCTGAGAACACAGAAGAGACACATAAGACGTGGAGAGCCGTCTTCCACCGACTGCTACCACCTGCCGCTGACCTCGTGAGTGACTGCTTAGTCATAACTGCAACTTACAGTCATCAGGCACAGTCAAGCCTTTAGTTAGGGCCACGTACCTGTCACAGCAAGCCCTTACCAACGTAATAATTACATCATGGCTTCCTAAGTTTTCTTTGGAATGGGCAATGCAGATGAATTAAATTATTTCATGCCACCCTAACAGACAGTCTTTCTCTGCCATGGCTGTACCGTGCCCCACAAGCGCTTCACCAATCACTGTGTTTTCACTTGTGTAGCTGGATGTTGTTTGGTGTCAGGGAGGCGGCCCAGGGCTCCGGTCAAGTTCTCCTACCTGTTCTGTGTACCTTACCAGCAGCCATATGCCCCTGGATGTCAGCAGTAATTAGCTGCTGTGAGGATAATTATAACAGCAGTATGGGCATTAATTAGCCAGCAAACAGTGAAAGCTCTTTATCCACAGAAGAAAGGAACATTAAACTCACCTTTTTCACAGCGCCTTCACCAACACACTTGAGTTTCCTGACTTCCCTATTGATGGCTTCGCAGGAGAGCCATGGGGAACAATTCTTCGCTGCTCCCAGTTTGAAATACCCGAAAGGGCAGAGGCTGGGGTCCGTTTCGGCACGACCCAAAGGGGTGTAAAACTTGTTGAGGTACAGGTAGAGAAGGGCATTAAGGATCAGGACGGCCGCAAGCAGTAAAGCCAACGAGACGGACGACGCCTCCCTGGGAGGAAACTCCCTCCTAACGAACTGCGGTTTCTTTTCCATGGCCGTGCCTTCTGCATTCTCCGTGAGAGACGGAGGCTAAGCAGGACCCTCTTCCCAGCCCGCGGGTGAACGTCTGTGGGGCTTCTTCATCGCAGGCTACGCAGCTGCCCCGCAGACACTGCAGTCCCGAGCCTCCAGCCTAGAGAAGGCCACGCGTGGCCGCGGCGTGTGCTAAAAGCGCCTGCGAGCTCGACGCTCGCCTCGCTCTTCATCCTCCCGCTTTTCCGAACAGGAGGGCCCGGGCTGCCGGCGGCCCCGGGCTGTGACGCTC